TATATGTATATATCTTTTTATACTTCCTTAGTATTTTACTTAGTATTTTACTTCCTATATCCTTATTAGATGTACCTACTTTATACTATTACCTATATGCTATTCTTATCCCTTTATACTATACTATTCTATTCCTCTTATACTATTCTTATCCCTTTATACCTTTATATTCTTATACTTTTATACTTTTATACTTTTATACCTATAACCATTTATACCTTTATACCTTTATACCTTTATACCTTTATACTTTATACTATTTCCTCTTATACCACCTATTCTTATTATAAAAATACGCCCCCCGTGGGGCTCGAACCCACGACCGCGCGGTTAAGAGCCGCGCGCTCTACCGACTGAGCTAGGAAGGCTCACAGATTATTAGTATTCTTGACTTCTAGACTATGACTATATTTATATATATTTTTATATTTATTTAAATTTTATTTTATTATTTATGTTTATTTTATATATGTAATGACTTATTATATTTATTCCTTTTTATTTCTATATTTCTTTATATATTATATATTACTTATTACTTATTACTTATTACTTATTTTATACCTATTATATATAGACTATCTTTACTATACCTTATTCTTATTTTTTACTTTTTACTTTTTACTTTTTATTTCTTCTATGTATATATATATATTATATATGTACTTATGTACTTCTTATTCTTTTATGTATATATGTACTTATGTATATATTTATATATTTATATATGTATATATTTATATATGTATATATGTATATATGTACCCTCTTATTATGTTTATCCTATTATACCCTTCTTATTACTCCTTATAACTTTATCCTATTATTACCTATTCAACTTATGCTTATCATATTTACTTTATCATATCTACTTTATTATTTCTACTTTATCATTTCTGCTTATCATATCTACTTTATCATTTCTGCTTATCATATCTACTTTAACATTTCTGCTTAACTTCTGCTTAACTTATGCTTACTGAAAGCTTCCGTGGCTCAGTCGGCAGAGCGAACGGCTGTTAACCGTTAGGTCCTTGGTTCGATCCCAAGCGGAAGCGTCTTTTTTACTATTATTATTAACCTTTATGCTACTATTATTATTATTATCAT